GATCCTGGCAATGTTTTTTAGATGGTAAAAAGCTGCTGATGTTACTGATTTGATGTGGCTATTAAAATTTAAGTCTGAGTCCAGTATTACCCCTAGATTTCTGACCTTGTTTGAAGGTTTTAGGGAGAGAGACTGTAGGTGACAGTGCCATATTTTGCGTGGATGAATCTGAAATGCTGCCTCCCCCACTCCTGACTCCCTCCCTCCCTACTTGAAAAGAAGGTTCCTTATGAGTCACTATTTGACGCTTCGGCTGAATAGCTGTTTGTCTTTTTCACTTTGGTGTCTGATAAAGCTGCTCTAAAGATGCTGCAGAGGCTAAACATATACGCATGTGAAAACTAGGGATAGAACCAAATTGTTTTTTGCACGGAATAGTTGTATTTTACTATGTATTTTATTGTGTAGTTTTACTTGTGTGGTATGGACATTGGCTACCCCAGCTTTAAGGATTTTTTTTTTCACTAATGAGATAATTGGTGGCAGGTAAAAGCCATATAGCGTTTACGGCATTGCATTCAAATTGAAGCGTGTGTGACTCCGTGTGAGTATTCATTTTATTATGGTAATCGACCTGTTTCTACAAATCAATATTGTACGCTGTATCTATGAATGAGTGATTAAGAAGCACAGAAAACAACTGAACTTGAAACACTGGCATATTCCACTAATTCTTTTATTTGGGCACTCTTAATTAATTGTCTATAAACTTAAATGACTCCCTTCTTGTTTGAATCTCGTTAGCATTCATGCGATGTGCCTCATTAGCATTTCGACTTCATTGCCATTAGCATTGAAGTGATCCAGTCAAACCCAAATGCCATAACCAGATTGTCCCAGCAGGGGTGACAGCTTCCAGCAAGTTGGAGAAATGCGTCTACTCCTCCCACCACACGTTTTTAAATCAATGCCCAGAATGATAAAACCAGACAATTCTTATGGGAAATGAGGAAGCCACAGTCCTGAAGTCTTTAGTCGTAGTAATTATGTTTGAAGTTGGCTTTGATGACACGTGGTACTGTTTTAGATCTTGCGGGAGAGGTGGTGGACGTAGATAAGCGGACGGCGTCATGCGGAGAATGTACCATCTGCTAAGTGACTTTTGTTACAGCGTTTTGTACATTTTATACTAATCTTATTCAGTATTTTATCCCAGAGATTAATTCTTCTTCTTTTTCTGCATAGATTCATGGATTGTTTGTGTTATTGCTGTAATTTACAGTCAATCTTGACAAAATCACAAACACAAAAGACATATTTCGGCATTTTTGATACTTGGTTGCCTTCCAAGGAGAAGTGATTTCCAAACCAAAGACAGAGCAGAAAGTGCTGCTCTGTCTTTGGTTCCAAAATCAGATCTCCCTCAGATCAGGCTGCAAACTCCTTTTAAAGAACAAGACACCTTCATATGCATCAGGACAGGAAGAGCCAACACAACAAAAGGACAGTGAGACATTAGCATCCTCAAAACCTGCTTCCTCCTGGCATCTGCATACAACCCCCAAGCACTCTGAAGTCAACAGTGGATTACAATACAGACATACATTCCAATATCAGTTTGTCATATATATTTTTTCTTAGAGTTGCTTCCGTGTAATCTTTATGTTATGTATTTCATAGAGATGAGCAGGTGATCAAGCTAGGCCGAGTTACGGGTCATATCTGTGAAAAGGGGATACATAAATAAGTATATGCGCTGTATGATTTTACAGACAGATAGGTAATTGATACTTTTAATGCCCTATTGTGAAAAATTCCAAGTAAATCCTACAAATCTTTCATATATATTTTATTCAGGACATGTTTCCCCTCTTTTTTTTAAATCCCAAACCAAAGTCATTCCATTTTTATTCTTTTATATGTATGTTTTGTATATAGAGGACGCATGTACATAGTAAGTATGTAAGTAATGTTTAATTATTTAGTGCATTTTACAGACCAAGGTCACCCAAAGCGCTTTACAATGTTCAGAGTTCAGATATTGTTGCAAGATAATACTCAAAAAGTTCATAGCAGTCTATGGAAAGTATATTATTTTTTCTTGGTATCGTTTTGGAAAGTTAGCAATTGGTATCTGCTAACCTACAATCTCAGGCTGAAAAAGTGAAATGCTAAATTTGAACCAAAATCCAATAATGAATTACTTATCCCTGTTTTTTTTTTTTCTAAATCTGTGGCGGTTGGCTGTATTCTCACAAACCCCAACCTTCGCCACCGCAGGCTACTTCCGAACGCACAGATGTGGTTCCTTCGCCGGCGAATCAGCAGCGCGTTGATTCTTCCATTGTGAAAACACCAACCAACCATCAGTCAAAAAGAGCCGCCCCAAAAATGGTCGCAGCAGCGTATTAGTGTCTGAAAAGAGAAAATTATCTAAAAAGCCAGAGTGAAAGTTATCGAGCGTGTTGGCTTTGATTACGATGCCATTGAGCTGGGCCGAGACACCTGTGGCCTCTCTGGACCGCGCACTTTGTATTCCTTTTGTTGGCCGACCAGAATGACGCGACGGGAGGCATTTTGGATTGATTCGCACTGACTAATTTATGATTCATATCGCCCACCTGCTGCTCCCTGTGTAGTGGCTTATTGGAGGGCTCAGGGAACGCAGCTCCAGGCGGCACAGATCCACCGGCCACTGTCTGAAATTGGGATCCGCCGTCACGGTCCTCGCAACAGTTGATTGCATTGTTTTTTTTTTTCGTTTAGAAACGTGTGAATAAGTAAAGACGCCCTTCTGTTTTCAGAAATGTGAAAATACTATTCATTTTTAACTATACGTTTACAAGCACAAAACTATACTTCAAACTAGGGGTGGAAGATAAGACTTAAAGCTGGGGCAACTAACTTTTAAACCACTAAATATTGAACTGTCTAATATCATCAATGTAATCGCTCTCAAAATACTTTGTTTCTGTCACTGTTTTTCACATGCATGTGTTTTTTGGTCCTTTTTCAGATCAAAACCTTTATGAGAGGACCACTCTATCTAAGCCAATCAGATTTCAGCCCAAAGCATCAAATAATGACGCTCAGACTTTCAAAAGAATCTGTTTTCTTTAAGATTTGTTTACAACATTTTACGTTTTAAGATTCTTTCTGTTGGGACAAACACAATGTATTATTTGGGAAAAATGCCTTCAATGCAAGTCACGTACCCCAGCTTTAATTGTGTCGTACTGCCCATCATACGTCACTTTACTTCACTGTACTGCTGTCACCTTTTTGTAACTCTATTTTAATTTTAAATGTATTCCTTAGAAGTGTTTTTTATTCTTTATTTTTGTTATCTCTCTCTGACTCTTGCACTGAGCCAAAGCAATTTCCAAGTCTGTGACCTCCTGTTACTTACGTGGCAATAACAATGATTCTGAAAATGCATTTAAACATAGGCTCTCTCTGACATGAACAAAAGTCACATCCTGTTATCTTTGGAACGCCATTCATTTAATTATGTAAGCTTCTTTTTATGAGAAAGCCCGTTGGACAAAATGTACAGCAGCCCTGCCCAGTCATACAGGTTTAGATCTTAGATGTTTTAATCAAACTAAGTTACACTGTTTCTGATTGAATGCAGAGGCAAACCCAGGGGCCTGCGTGTGTGTCGTATGTCGTTGATGAATACCTCAGAAACAAAACAGGGTAAAAGTCTAGTATCAAATAAACTCCTGGTTTTTGGCCACTTTTCACCGTTCCAGACGAGACATAAGTCGTGAGGGAGAAAAGAGCGATCAATACGTTTTGTCAGTGTGAGTGCTGAGCGTTCACAGTTTGGGCAGATTAAACCTCAGAAAGTACAGGGCCGATATGAAGTGGTCCAAGTGATGGTTAGACTCAATGAACAGTGGGGCTTCTTATTGTTACGTAAGATTGTTGACCTTTTAAACATGTTACAACTTTGTTCCCTCATAAGAAGCAGACCTGGTGTTATTTGTAGATCCGTCCTTGCTAAAATCATAACTTGATAACTCTTATGTCTAAATACATCCACGCTGGTACGCTACTTTTTGCAAAGGTTGCAGGTGGCTTATAACGACGCTCTGCATGTGCTTCTCAGGAGGCCGAGATGGACCAGTGCGAGTGAGATGTTTGTCACTGCTGGAATAAACACGCTGCAAGCCACACTGCGGACGCTTATGTACCGTTTCATATGCCGTTTGAAACAGTCTGTTAATACAGTAATTGGTTCATTGGTTGATGTCACCTGTAGTGCCATTCGCTATCAGTCGCTAATGTGGAGGCACTGGTATAGCTGTCTTTTTAAAGGGACTGTGTAATTTATTTGTTTGTAGTTTAATGTTGTTTGTGATGTCGCTGTCTTTTAGGACCTTGAGTCCGTAATAAAGTTGAATTGCTACTACTGTATGAATCCTTTCACCATCTGCCTTTGAAAACACAAGTATTGACTCTAAAGTGTTGGTAATTTCTTCAGTGAATTTACAGCCTCTACAACCTCATGGCTGTGTTTTCAATTTGAAAATCTATCAAATGAATCCAACATCAGTCCCTGGTGAAGACGATGCTTAATCCTTGATATAAGTGCATCAATAAATGTTTCAATGCAATTCACTTTTGAATCATGACCTTCCAAAGTAAATTGTCTCATTATTATATTCAAGGACCAAAATAATTCATCGTATTTCTTAAACTTTCACCTCAAGTCGGTACAAATCTTTATTTACTCACCTGTTTATTGATTCTAGTGTGGCTAAAAAAATAAAATAAAATGGGGACAAAACATTTTCAACCAGTTAGTTAGTATGCCTTCAGATTTTTTTTTTTTTTACCATTCCAAGTTTTATTGTAATTTGATGATTGCCCAAATGCTTGATGGACGCCTTTCCGTTTTATCTGTTTCTGGGTTAAACGTCATTCTTTTTTCGTATTATATAGTATGGTGTAATGTACTAGAAACTGGATCTTCTTCTCTTCACCTGTAAATGAATAAGTGTTTTGTGTATACCAATAGTTGTTTAATTAAAAATGCTTTCTTCTTGTCTCAGAACACAGACCCGGTTCACGACATGTTGCTGGACGTCATCACTTGGGTGGGCATCCTGCTGTCTCTGGTCTGCCTGCTCATCAGCCTCTTCACGTTCTGCTTCTTCCGTGGCCTTCAGAGCGACCGCAACACCATCCACAAAAACCTGTGCATCTGCCTCTTCATCGCAGAGTCGCTCTTCCTCGTCGGAATCAACCGCGGGGACCAGCCGGTGAGTGCTCCAGCTGCTCTCTCGACATGGAGCTGGGCCCAAGAATTACATTGATATTAATCACGGTTTAGGTTTATATTAGACGTGCCGTAGTGTTTTCATGCCACTGACATTTCAAACTCTTACATACTTTATTTGTACAGGACTTTTCATAAACACAGTTTCCAAAGTGCTGCACAGTAAAATACTAACTAAAACATATCCATAGTAAAACAGTAAAATAATAAAAAAAATCAACTATGAAAAACCGTGTGTGCATATATGTATAAATATAAAAAATAACAAAAAAAAAGATGGAATAAAATAATAAATAGTGACGTCGCCCGGCATGGCGCAGCCGGGGCCCCACCCTGGAGCCAGGCCTGGGGTCGGGGCTCGTAGGCGAGCGCCTGGTGGCCGGGCCTTAGCCCACGGGGCCCGGCCGGGCTTAGCCCGAATGGACGACGTGGGCAGTCCCTCCTGTGGGCCCACCACCCGCAGAGGGGTCCGTGGTGGCGAAACGGTGCAGAGAGGACTGGGCAGCGGTCGAAGGCGGAGACCTCGACGACCCAGTCCGCACACACAACAGCTGGCTCTTGGGACGTGGAACGTCACCTCACTGGGGGGGAAGGAGCCCGAGCTCGTGGGGGAGGTTGAGCGATACCGACTAGAGATAGTCGGCCTCACCTCCACACACAGCTTGGGCTCTGGAACCCAACTCCTTGAGAGGGGTTGGACGCTCCACTTTTCTGGTGTTTCCCGCGGGGAGAGGCGGCGAGCTGGGGTGGCCATTCTCATTGCCCCCCATCTCAGCCGCCACGTGTTGGAGTTCTCCCCGGTGAATGAGAGGGTCGCGTCCCTCCGCCTCCGGGTGGGGGATAAGTCTCTCACTGTTGTGACGGCCTACGGGCCTAACAGCAGTGCAGAGTACCCGGCCTTCTTGGAGTCCTTGGGAGGGGTACTGGACGGTGCACCGCCCGGGGACTCCGTTATTCTCCTGGGGGACTTCAACGCCCATGTGGGAAACGCCAGTGACACTTGGAGAGGGGTGATCGGGAAGAGCGGCCCCCCTGATCTGAACCCGAGCGGTGTTCAGTTGTTAGACTTCTGTGCCAGTCACAGTTTGTCCATCACGAACACCATGTTCGAGCACAAGGGTGTCCACCAGTGCACGTGGCACCAGGACACCCTAGGCCGGAGGTCGATGATCGACTTTGTTGTCGTATCATCTGACCTTCGACCGCGTGTCTCGGACACTCGGGTAAAGAGAGGGGCGGAGCTGTCAACCGATCATCACCTGGTCGTGAGTTGGATCCGCTGGCAGGGGAAGAAGCCGGTCAGACCTGGCAGACCCAAGCGTATAGTGAGGGTCTGCTGGGAACGTCTCGCTGAGCCCCCTGTCAGACGGACTTTCAACTCACACCTCCGGGAGAGTTTCTCCCAGGTCCCGGTGGAGGAGGGGGACATGGAGTCCGAGTGGACCATGTTCTCTGCCTCAATCGCCGATGCGGCGGCTCATAGCTGTGGTCGCAAGGTCTCTGGTGCTGGTCCCGGCGGCAACCCCCGAACCCGGTGGTGGACACCGGCAGTAAGGGATGCTGTCAGGCTGAAGAAGGAGTCCTATCGAGCCATGATGGTTCGGGGGACTCCTGAGGCAGCTGTCCAGTACCGGCAGGCCAAGCGTGCCGCGGCCCGGGCTGTTGCAGAGGCAAAAACCCGGGACTGGGAGGAGTTCGGAGAGTCCATGGAGCATGACTATCGGTCGGCCTCAAAGAAATTCTGGCAAACCGTCCGGCGCCTCAGGAGGGGGAAGCAGTTCTTTGCCAACACCATGTACGGTGCGGGTGGAGAGCTGCTGACCTCGACTGGGGATATTGTCGGGCGGTGGAAGGAATACTTTGAGGTTCTCCTCAATCCCCCCGTCACGTCCTCTGTTTCAGAGGCAGAGGCTGAGGATGTTGGGGCGGATACATCCATCTCCCTGGCTGAGGTCACCAAGGTGGTTGGTAGCCTCCATGGTGGCAAGGCTCCGGGTGTGGATGAGATCCGCCCTGATTATCTAAAGTCTCTGGATGTTGTAGGACTGTCTTGGCTGACACGTCTCTGCAACATCGCGTGGCGATCGGGGGCGGTGCCAATGGAGTGGCAGACCGGGGTGGTGGTCCCTCTCTACAAGAAGGGGGACCGGAAGGTGTGTTCCAATTATCGTGGGATCACACTCCTCAGCCTCCCCGGTAAGGTCTACTCCAAGGTACTGGAGAGGAGGCTACGGCCGATGGTCGAATCTCGGATCCAGGAGGAGCAGTGTGGTTTTCGTCCCGGTCGCGGAACACTGGACCAGCTCTATACTCTCCATCGGATACTCGAGGGTTCATGGGAGTTCGCCCAACCTGTCCACATGTGCTTTGTGGATTTGGAGAAGGCGTTCGACTGTGTTCCCCGGGGTGTCCTTTGGGGGGTTCTCCGGGAGTACGGGGTCGGGGGTCCTCTGCTGAGGGCCATCCGGTCCCTGTATGACCGGAGCCAGAGCTGTGTTCGCATTGCCGGCAGTAAGTCAGACCTGTTCCCGGTGAATGTTGGCCTCCGACAGGGCTGCCCTTTGTCACCGGTTCTGTCCACTGTAATTATGGACAGAATATCTAGGCGCAGCCAGGGGTCGGAGGGGGTCCGGTTCGGGGACCACAGGATTTCATCTCTGCTGTTTGCGGACGATGTTGTCCTGTTGGCTCCAACGAACCAGGACCTGCAGCATGCACTGGGACGGTTTGCAGCCGAGTGTGAAGCGGCTGGGATGAGAATCAGCACCTCCAAATCTGAGGCCATGGTGCTCGACCGGAAAAAGGTGCCCTGCCCTCTGCAGGTGGGTGGAGAGGTCCTTCCTCAAGTGGAGGAGTTCAAGTATCTCGGGGTCTTGTTCACGAGTGAGGGAAGAATGGAGCGTGAGATTGACAGGCGGATCGGTGCAGCGTGCGCAGTGATGCGGTCGCTGTATCGGACTGTTGTGGTAAAGAAGGAGCTGAGCCGAAAGGCAAAGCTCTCGATTTACCGGTCAATCTTCGTTCCCTCCCTCACCTATGGTCATGAGCTTTGGGTAATGACCGAAAGAACGAGATCGCGGATACAAGCGGTCGAAATGAGCTTCCTCCGCAGAGTGGCTGGGCGCTCCCTTAGAGATAGGGTGAGGAGCTCAGTCACACGGGAGGAGCTCGGAGTAGAGCCGCTGCTTCTCCACGTCGAGAGGAACCAGTTGAGGTGGCTCGGGCATCTGTTCCGGATGCCTCCTGGACGCCTCCCTGGGGAGGTGTTCCGGGCACGTCCCACCGGGAGGAGGCCCCGCGGAAGACCTAGGACACGCTGGAGGGACTATGTCTCTCAGCTGGCCTGGGAACGCCTTGGGGTCCCCCCGGACGAGCTGGAGGAAGTGTGTGTGGATAGGGAAGTCTGGGCGTCTCTGCTTAGACTGCTGCCCCCGCGACCCGGCAACGGATAAAGCGGAAGAAAATGGATGGATGGATGGATGGAAAATAAAATAAAAATAAAATACAAGATTTTTGTTTTTTCTAAATGCTAATGTATGAGCTAGACACTCTATCTTTTTTTTTTACAACCACACAATGTAAAAAAAAAAATATTTTCAATAGCAGTGATTTTCAACCAGTGTACCATGGCCAGCCTTGAGTATTTGTCTCGTGCGCCTTTAGAAAAAAGAAAATAATAATAAAATTGACAGCAAATGTTTGGTTATTCCATACACTTGATCATAATGACTTTGTATGGTTAATTAAGTTTGTGAAGTATCATTTTTGTGACATTTTCAGCTGGCCGTGTGCCGCATAATTTCTCTAAATGGAAAAATGAAATGGCTCAAAAAGGTTGGGGAACACTGCTCTATAGCCTTCAATTATTATATATATTTTTTATCATTCCAAGTTTTATTGTGATGTGATGAATGCCCAAATCATTGATGGACACATTTCATCCATTTTCTTCCGCTTTATCCGTTTCTGGGTTGCGGGGGCAGCAGTCAAAACAGAGACGCTCACATGACTTCAATTATTTATCATTTCTTTTGCCATGTTACAACATTCATCCCCAATCAAAAACCCCTGGAACCTTCCGCCCCTTTTGTCTACGCTTGTGTAATTACCCACGGCAACCACTAGTTGACCTACAGATGGTTTGTTATTGATCATACATGTATTTTCAAGGTATTTAGGGAGATATTTGTACCAATTAAAAATATAAAGGCTACGCTGATAATTGGCAGCTAACACGGCTTCATTGTGATTTCGGCAAAAATAGAAGCCCAGTGAATGCCCAGCGGAAAACGCACAGGACTTCCAGCAAAATCATCCAAAATAAAAGTGCTACATTCTACAGTAACCATAGTGACAGAGAACTAAAGATTCTGTTTTTAATCTCTAAAATTATAGTTATTTTTCTTGTTGGAGCACTCTTTTTATTCCCATACTGTTCTGCAATAACATGTACTCACTGTGGCACTAATACATGTTCTTTTATCTTATTTATTTCACATTGGAGAACGTCAAGAGGCAAAATGGACCCAAATAATGTAAATTCTGACCTACAAGACCTCTTTTATTTTATAATTGTCATTTTTTTTTGGGAACTAAACTTTCTTGTGAATTATTATTTTTATTTTTTTTAGGAACGGGGTTAGCAGAAACATTGGCTTCAGGAGGTAACGTTTGATATGATGTGGCAAAAGCGTTGAAAACCTTCAAAAACACGCGTATATCTTGCTCAATACCATATGACCTTTACTGTAATGGGTGTGAGCTGCTTATCCGAGACGATGTATTACTTATAGCATAGTAAATTGTGGAATAATGCAAGCAAAGTCAAAATATATTATCTTATCTAGACATCCAGTTGCCCTTCAGATACCCCTCTAAACACCCAACACAATGTTTCGCTTTCTACTGCGTCGGAGTCTACACATTGGAGCTTTGTCCCGGCTCTAAAGCACTAGCAGTAGATACAAAATACAAAATAGCCCGAAAATACTCAGTGTTATAATGGGTTCAATTTGACTGCTTTGTCCCCATTTGATGACGAGCACATTGGAAAAACTCACTGGTTTAGCTTCAATCAATCAAATCACAAGTCATACAGTGTCACCCAAAGTGCTTCACAAGCCCAAATGTAAAATTTGAAAACCCGACTCCAAAAAAATAAAAACAATACAAAAACATGTGTGAAATGTAATGTGAATAAATGTAAGTTAATAATAAGACACAGAAAAATAAACGTTCCCAGAGACGTGACCTGTCTTACGAGTATCAAAGCTTTAAGGAACACATGGTCCCTCATCAAAAACATACATTTAATAGAAAATAATTAAAGCCTATGTTCCTCTTCTGTATGCGATATATGATCATCTTTGCTCTAAAATCTGAATAACCTTCACTTTAATGCAATACTGAGAAAAAATCTACCTCAATCAAAAAAAAGAAAAATTGCCTTAATGGCTACAATACATAAATCTGCAAATGATGGACTAAAAAAACACATTTGAATGTATTTGTTGTGGTCCTGCGGTGCTCTGAGGTGGTGGCCGTGACCTTTTATGGGAAAACATCATGAAAAATAACGCTTTCTCCCCTGCAGCTTTTTTCATATGCAACAATAATAATAACACGATAGACACATAATAGCGCTAACTCTATCCACCTTCAGTTCACGGCAGAAGTCACTGAAGAAATATCTGAAATTAGCCTCAACATGTCATGAGAAAGTTAAATTGGTCAAATCTATCCGAGATCTAGGGCGACAGTGGCTCAGTTGGTAGAGCATTGGCCTTTGAGCCTGAAGGTCGTGGGTTCGAGCCCACCGTAAGACCTACTCCACGACTCCCACTGATGACTGCTGTCGTTGTGTCCTTGGGCAAGACACTTAACCCCACTTTGCCTGAAGCTCCCACTGAAAGATCTCAGCTCCTGTGGACTCAGCACCTGCAGGAGGATCAGTGAGGGGCTGGTGCTCTGTGGACTGGGTGCAGCTCTGACTGACACCCCCCCGACCCAGAAATGGATGAAGAAAATGGATGGATGGATGAATATGCAAGATCTTGTTTCCATGGAGATGTGAATTACTTTGCCTGGATGGTTTATTTTTTTCATTTTTATGGAAATGTATGATATTTGCCACTATCAATCAATCTTTTTTTGTGCTTCACAGTCCACATCACACAAGCCACGAATCATTACATAAAACAAACATAATCTCCATAAAAGCACAATTCAAATCACACAAAAGATTAAAATGAAAAATAACCACAGTGCATTCAAAATAGAGATAAAAACCTTACAAAAACTAGCGGTATAAATCGGAGCTGGTTTATTTTAGCTTATCACTATTTGTATAAAGTTCATTTGCCTACTTCCTGTCTTCAGTTACCGTCCCTGTGTCTTCTGTGTTGGCAGTGAAAGCCACTGGCCTGAGCTTTTACCTTCCTTCCATAACCTTTAATGGCCCTGATTCACCAGCGCTTCTAAGATCACTCTCCTGAACTGCAATTAAGGTCCGCTCAACCTTTTAGCCGTTTAACTGAAACCATTTTCGGGGACGGAATGATCCAGTTATGTTCAACTGTGCCAATAACGACGTCAGTGCGGCGTTTGGGGTTATTCTTAGAAAGGGAGCGATCGGAAAGTGAATTATTGCGTTTTTTGCACCTGCTACTGAGAGAACTATTGCTCTAGGACTGTTGTCTTTGCATCTCATTCCTTCACTCAGCCGTGCCAGCTAGCAAACCACATGCACACACTGGCTAAAGCATCTGCCAGAAACCACAGGCGAAACTGCAGAATGTGTCCCGCCAAAGCCTTGTGCAAAATGCTGCCATAAAACGTGGCATAATGTTTGCGCTGAAACAAATGACTCGTGTGGTTTCTCAATCTTTTTTCAAAACATGCAAAAGATTATGACTCTTCAGTTTTTGAGTTTTTTTAGAGGTTTTTTCCCCCCTTTAAACCACAAAATACACACAAAAAAAGATAACTACAAAGTCCATCTATGAGATAAGATAAACCTTCAGTGGGGAAATTTGAATGTCAAACTAGTTCCTTGTTTGAAAACATTTTAGGTTTTCACCAGTGTGGGCGGGTCCCGGCTCAAAAGTGGCCAAAATGACGTGCGCTGACAGGCTGCAATACCACCCCGGGCCTGTGGGGGTGGACCCAGAAGTAGAATTAGCCAATGCTAACATATGGCATCTTCTTACCTCTGGAAAACGTCTTTGCAGGATGGTCCAAAAGTTGTCTCTTGGCCCAAAGCTCCGTTCCACATGTGTGTCAATGCTGAGGGGAGTGTTCTGGACCAGTCTAGTTTAGTCGCTGTGAATTTTTTAAGTTGTTTAAATGAATGGAGCTCGTGCAGCTGACACATGCACAAATGCGTTTTTTCCAGTGGGGGAGGGTCCCGGCTCAAAAGTGGCCAAAATGACGTGCACTGACATGCTGCAATACCACCCCGGGCCGATGGGGGTGGACCCAGAAGTAGAATTAGCCAATGCTAACATATAGCATTGGCAGACCTCTCAAAAACGTCTTTACAGGATGGACCAAAAGTTGGCTCTTGGCCCAAAGTTCCGTTCCACATGTGTGTCAATGCTGAGGGGAGTGTTTTGGTCCACTCTGGTTTACTTGCTGTGAATTTTTGAAGTCTCTCGTTCAAATGAATGGAGCTGCGCCGGCTGACGCATGCGCAGATGCGTTTTTCAAAATTTTCTTGTGGGCGGGACCACTCGCGGCCATTTTGGATTGCTCCAGTAGAGCAAATTTTTTGGCCCATTAGTTAGAACGCCGGAGATAGGCGTGACTCTGTCCGTTAATATATACAGTCTATGGTTTTTCCACATTTTCCAGCCCCCGCGGCCATTTTGAATCACTCCATGAAAGCCCAATCTTTGGCCCATTAGTTAGAACGGCGGAGATAGGCCTGACTCTGTCCGTTAATATATACAGTCTATGGTTTTCACATGCATGTATTTTGTCACCCTCACTCAGCTGTTTATCTCGTACCAACACTTCTGCCTTAGGGAATGGAACCATTGTTTATGAAATCCAGTTTGAACATAGCATTCATTAGGGTGCTTGGTAATGTATTTCGAAGTGAACAAGTCAATCCTCTCTGATCTTTCCAAAGTAAAACCCTTTTCACTGCTTTACTTTTTGTTTGCTACTTTTCTAACTGAACTCTGTTTCTCTTTTTGCCGTCCAGATTGCATGTGCCGTCTTCGCCGCCCTGCTTCACTTCTTCTTCCTGGCGGCCTTCACCTGGATGTTTCTGGAAGGCGTGCAGCTCTACATCATGTTGGTGGAGGTCTTTGAAAGCGAGCACTCCAGACGTCGATACTTTTACATCGTGGGCTACGGAGTTCCTGCTCTGATCGTGGCGGTGTCGGCCGCAGTGGACTACAGGAGCTACGGGACAGAACGAGTGTAAGCGTCTTAAGTTATTTACAACTATGTACGGTTTTATTTTCTCCTTAAAGAGCGACTAAACACCAAATCAACTTTTTTTAACCCATAAACTGCATAAATATGTTTATTGTAGTGCTGTCTACATATCCTGGTAATTTTTTGGACATTTTATTTCAAATTAGATAAAATATCACTTTTGAGCCAAAAAACGCTGTGTGGCGCCCTCTCAACCTTTTTGGTGGTACTACATTTGAATTTGGTCCTGGCCTCTCCATTGACTCTGAAGTTCTCTATGACATCAGTTGTTTTGTGTGACGTCAGTCTGTCAGAGCCAGTAATACAAACCCATTCAACTCTCACACACGCCCCAGCTACAGTTTGGGGTATTCTGGCGCCATCTAGTGGATTAAAATTAAATTACATGAGTCATTCTGAGATTATTGAGTGTGATTAGGTTCAGCTGTGTAGCTTTACAATTATCTTAGTGTGTAAACAAGGGTGGAATGAGACTTTCTGGTCTGTAAACTATTGCTTTAAGCAGCAATGACAACTGTCTGTTTTTTTTTTTTGTGTGACAAGTGAGCTGTCAATCACAGCCCAGACCACGCCCAACTCTAAGCCCCCCTTCTTGTCCCTTGGTCCTCCAGGCAACGCCCTTTTTAGAGAAAAATTTCAAATCTTCATGTGGGCGGAGTCAGGCTGGGCACAGGTGTTTAGTCGCTCTTTAAGGTAGAATGTTCTCTAGAAAACCAAAACAAACTAACAATGCATACATGGGGTGATGATCTCTTGTCTTGTTGGAAAGAATCATTATTTTCTCAATGAGACCTCTTAACTTTTTCTTGAACGTTTCAAAATGTGTTACTTAAGATATGATAAGATAAACTTTATTGATTTCACAATGGGGAAATTTGCATGTCACATTTGGCATAGATAGAATCACCCAGACAGAAGTTTGCAAACATTTTAAGGTTAAAACGACTACTACGAAGGTTAAAGACTACTAATTGGAAGTGTGTATATCTATTCAATATTTTTGCAGCGATATATTGTGTTTCTACGAGACACTATAAGCCAAAGAACTCTACAAACATTGTCTGAAATGTGTTGTAATTTGTAGTTTTACTCTGAACTAAATGTGACCTTTTAAAACAGGAGATTGATAATCACATCCAAATCGCAATCGTTGGTCAGAAATATACAGTTCGACATATTTCCAAACTTACACATCCCTACAGGCTACGTTTTTCAGTTCAGCGAAAACTTGGGACAAAAAGACTGAAGCAGTAAAAAAATATATTCAGGAAATGCGTTCTTTTCACAAAGCCTCTTCAGGAAAAACCTCAATCTGTCCATAATCCACAATACTCTCTCCAAAACGCAAGCTTACATGTAACAATTACAAATTATTATTTTTTGCCAAACGTGTATCTGTCCCAGCGCAGCTCCATTTCAATCCAACTGTCAACAATATCACAACTTTCCACGATCCATTCAAGTCGAGTCAATTCAGGCCTGGCACACTTCTGCTTCTCCTTGTTCGGTACAACTCGCAAATCTTCTTTTATTGTATCGGATCAAACTGTCGTCTTTCCTGGGATAGAAGAACGGGCATTGTCGCTGCTAAGTACCAAAATGCTAACGTCAGAGTGTGCGGTGGTATTGTCAGGGTGTTAACACAAGCTCAGAATCAAAGCCTACAAACCAGAGACCGATCCAGATTCTATTGAACAACACGGGATTTCTCTAAAGCTATTGCAGTGCAGCGCGGAACGTCCTCATTGTTAATCTCCGAGCCATCTGATGATAATGAACCGGCGCGTCAGCACTTTCTGTGGCCATGTTTATCACACGTTGTTGCGCACACGCCGGGCTCACAGACGCGCTGGAGATGGGCATGGCCATAGTTCTCTGTGATGGATGAGCCGATCGCTGCCACAGTCTGAGCTCTGGCATCACGTGAATTATTTAAACCACAGGGACAGTTATATGCAGCCACTGACTAATGAGGTGCAGGAATTGGAGGGGCAGTGCCAAGTCGGTGCACTTGTAAGAGTCGTGCTGCAAAAAGTTGTTGTATTGCTGCGTACATCGTGGCGGTTTTGTATATGCCAATGCGCTGTGGTTTTGTGGTTTTGAGGATTGTGCGTTGTGTATGGGTGCTTGGCTGAGTTCAGACTTTAATCACATTTGTCTCTTAGATGTCTTCATTTTGTGTTCATCAACTAAAATAGTTCAATTACAGGGACTCTTAGTGGTCTAATAAAGTCATTACATTTACAATACAACTTTTGTTGCAAGAATTTTGATCAGAAATGTTTTAAAAACTAGAAAGACAAAACTAGCTACTTTTCAGTTAACAAACTGGCAACCCAATTGAGAGCCTCATTTTGCTATAGTTTGCAAGAAATGTTTAGTGTGGAGTTGTTCATTGAAAATACAATGATATTTTTAACCCCTGTGCTATCATTTGGTCAAATTGACACGCCACAGATAAAACCCTAAATATATATTGTTTTAGGCTGTATTTTGATGATTTTCACAAGCTTGACCAGCCCTGGGTCATTTAGACCCGTTCAGACCCTCATTTAGGGTATTTTTCTTCTACTTTAAATCATCTGTGGCGGGTCATTTTGACCCAAGGGTAGCACAAGGGGAGAATAACTCCACTTTAACATTTTGTCCAAAAAAGGCCAAATTTGAGTTGTACAAGTGACCTGTGATCTGGGGACACACAAACTGTACAAGATGTAGATGTCATTTTCTACTATTAGGTACTGCTTCTTTAGGTTGTTTGTTAAAATATTTGTCTGCAAGGCCCAGCAAGGCACGCTTATTTGTATAGAAAGCTTTAAAAACAATAAAGGACACATTTAAATCACTAACTAACAGATCAAATTAAAATTAAAATAGCGTAGATAAAATCTGTCGTACACACATCTCTGTAACTCAATGGCAGATTCTTGGAGACTAAACACACATTTGTATTTTCTCTTGCGCTGGGATCATTATTACAGCACGAGTCATTGTATTATTTTAATAAGCTCCGTGTTCAACAATAGTAAACATGGTAATGGGTCTGTGTGGAGTCTGGGAGCAGGCCCAATTTCATCTACATAAACAGGGTCTTGCTACAACCGTTTGGTATATTCAACAAATTAGCAAATATTTAATTTCCCTTGTTTGTTGTGTTTTGTAATTTGCGAACAATTAGAAACATAATGTATATTAAAGCCAGGGCAGGTAAACAGTCTCTTTTACCTTTACCTCAAAGACTTCCCACTGCGCACCTTTACTCCGCAACCTTTATCAACCTGCTCAAAAGAAGTCAAATACTAATTGTTTTTCATGGTTGTTTTTTCTTTTTAGACGCTTTGACTTGGGTATGAACTGTGCTATACAGATAAGCTTGTCTTGGCTGGTATTGTTAAAAACGAGCTCTTGACCCCAAATCGATTCTGCATCAAACCAGAGTGAATGAATATCTTCTGAAAGTGTGGAAATTTAAGAATTACTCTGGCCGACTGTATTCACTGCTATACTTTATGATAGATTTTGTGTTTCATGCCCTTAAAGCCAGGGTACCTAACTTTAAAAACACCAATAATGAAAGTGTCATTTTCCATCTGACTCGTTCTAAGCTCGTTTGCTTCTGTTTCTATGACTAGTCTTTCGATCTGCTTTATCAGGCGTGAAAAGTGACAAAGAGAGGACCACCATCAATCATTATTCTGCCCAAAGTATCAAATTAGAGACTCACAAGTTTCTTAAAAGTTTGAAACAAGATTATATTCAGAACAATTCACATTTAAGAAACAACAACCTTTGATACCCCAACTTTATGAGCAATTGTGGAAAGTTTCTTGTATAAGGTAAACAAACAGTAAACAGACTTTCAAGTGTCTGAAACCAACTCCGAGTATCTTAATTTTCAATTTGGCCTCGCTCTGGTCAGTCTCGCCCCCTGTCCAGTGAAATGACTATCTCCACTTCAGTGATCTTTGCACATGAAGCCGTTTTTGACAGCATGTGGCGGCTCAGTGCTGTGGGTGGCCTGGATCTCCACAAACTCAAGCTGCTGGCATGTGCTTGGCTCGTGTTTTGACTGGCGCGACTGTAACGCTCTTATTTTGCCACCGAAGTGTAAGAAAGTAGCTCAGGAGGAGGGTGGAGATAAAAGTGTGTTCCCAAAAGCCGCCATGACAAAAGTTGAGAACAGCCTGCAGCTCTCGACGCCCACTTGCTCTTTAAATCTGTCTGTGATCTGAAGAAGAAAGCAGAAAAAAAAAAAACAAGAACAATACACTTCAAAATAATTTGGTGCTCTTTGATGGGTTGCCAGATCTGCGTGCGTGTTTTCAGCTTCTGTTGTACGCAGTGATATGGGCCCAGAGTGTGGAGGACCTCTCGGCAAAGGAAAAGTCAATTTGTCACATCCACATCACAGGCCTGCACTTGCATTGATGGAAGTGAGAGTGTGATTCTGTGGCAAGTTTATTATTCGTCAATACAGTGTGTTGCGTTATGTGTGACTAGTGACAACCAAAATCAGCTTTCATATAGGCCCCAAATTTGCACTCGGCAGGCCCAAAAGAATGCATAGAAGCAGGCCACGGCATGTACCTTTTGTTCTTTAAAATGAAATCTTAAATGCTTTTTAAGGGGCATGGCTATGATCGACTCAATTGTTTATCCTGGATGTCTTTTCAGTGCTAGATGTTATGAAAAATATGTGTTATTCCAAATGTAAGCAACCTTCATGGCCCAAAATATACCTTACCTTAGACCTACTGTACAATGCCACACGGATCAGTGGTGGCTGTATTACCGATTGTACCTACAGTATCACAGCCTATACATGTTTTTAGTGGTGAGAAACCTGAGAAACCTTCGCAGAAAAGAGGAGAACATGCAAACTCCACAAGGATTTGAGCAGGAAATTCTTGTTGCCTTTGCCGTGGCAGCCCAGTTGTAGATCTAGGAGTGGGTGATATGGCTATAAGCTTAAATCTCCATTTAACTTTGTTACCAATATCTGTTCAGTTGATGTTAATGAAAAAAACTCAATATTTTAATTTCACAAACAATCATAAAACGATGTTAAGGATTTTAACGTCATAGATTTACAAAAAAAGGTTGAGTAATCTAATTAATTTGATTCATTGCCCCGTCTTATATAGACCATTTTCTTCCCCTTAATCCATTTCTGGGTCCGGGGGTGACAGTCAGAGCCGCACCCAGTTCACAGACCACCAGCCCCTCACTGATCCTCCTGCAGGAGCTGAGATCTTTCAGCAGGGGCTTTGGGCAAAGTGGGGTTCAGTGTCTTGCCCGAGGACACAACGACAGCAGTCATCAGTGGGAGTCATGAAGTAGGTCTCGTGGTGGATTTGAACCTACGACCTTCAGGCTCAAAGGCCAATGCTCTACCAACTGAGCCACTGTCGCTCTCAGATATGATGATAGATGTATGGAAATAAACATACTTTCCATGAAGCCTCTGACAGTAAAGTCGCGTGCCGTAAATGCACTTATTCCTAAATGCTTGTAAAACCAAGTTCATCTTCCACCACTTCTCGTTCATGAATGACAACAGCGCTTCTTGGGCCGCTATTTGCCAGTGTCCAAAAATGGAGGCGTCTGTCTGCTGCAGCGGCGGAGATTAACAGATTAATAATTCAGCCACGGGTCATGAATCATGTTTTTGTTCTGTTTCGTTTTTCTCTGGGCCGTTTTCAGATGAGCAATGTCGTGTTTTGAGCTCCTCCATTGTTGGCTTTAATCACAATCATTCGGTTTTTTTCCCTGGTGTCGGGATCCAGGGTGAAAAGACGGACTTATTACAACATGGACAAATTGAAGTTCACAAAAAGTCAGAGTTTTCATTGCGTGTTGCTCTCGGGTCAATACAATTCTTTTGAAATATCCAAATGGTTTAATTTGCGTCCAAACATGCTTGTATGGGAATTGGATTTGCAACAAAACAACTTGAATGGCATTAATATCCATGCGTCTAGAGTAATTTCATGACGTCAAAGCTTAATCCACTGCTGATTGGAACTTCCTTTGTGCGCTGGTTTGCAAAGCTTCAGAATGCTGTCCTATTTGCACTTAAACAGGAGAGATTTCAATTGCATTTTAGAAATCACGGGGAATCATGTTAGAAAATCTTCAGTTATTCAATAAATACAACACCTGTGCAGAAATGGCTTCACTCGTTGTTAGTGTGAAGCCATCGTGATCAAATTGTTTTTTTTTCATTTTCAACATATAATTAATATTTTTGAAACACTCAAATAGCCCTGATTAGAAGTTCTCAATGGCCTGGTCCACTTTAGCCTGGAAATACATCTCACAAGTGATTTATTAGTGGTCACGAGTGAGATGTAGTCTGGGAACCGTCCATTCAGAGAGGTGCGTTCTATGATTATCCAAAGCTATTCATTGGTTTCCACAAACAATTCAACCTGTTTGTGAGTGGATAGCACTCTCGCCGCTCAGCAAGAAGGTCCAGAGTTCGAATTCCGGTAGGGCCAGGGCCTTTCTGAGTGGAGTTTGCACTGTATAAAAACAGGAGAGGGAAATGGGTCCTTAGGCGGACACTGTTCTGATTGAAGGTATATTTGGATTGGCTGAAGGTAGGAAGTTGGGATTAAGGGATTTGTACGAACGGCGGATAGTAAGTTATATATACTGACATAGAATTATAGAGCAAGGAGCAATATATGACTCTAAAAAACTCCAGCCCTGTAAGAAAAATGAAGTTAGGTACTATCGAGTATTCAGGACAGTACTGTGAGCCCGAGTTCCGACATAGATTGTTTATACTAATACTGATAACATGGTATATACAGAGAGTTCACTGTTTTGGCCATATTTTAGAAATCATGAAAGATAACACAAAATACATTCATCATTGTTAGTGGTTATATTATTGTCGAAAAAATTATTGAGATGAGAGGAGAGGGAAATGGGCCCCGTGTCTGCTCTGGTTTCCTCCAGGTGCTCCGCTTTGTGACTCTGGTCTGTGAAAGGCGGTATATAAATAAATATTACTTACTTACTTACTTTGCGTCTGCAGCTGATGGATCAATAAACAAACTACAAGCTTTTGTCTGTGCAATAGAGCGTCATCATCGTCTTGTCTCTCCCCGTTCTGTGATTGGTCCCCAAATCTATGCAAAAATATTGTTTCGAGTTTCCAGGCTGTTGTGTAGTCTGAAATAAATACGCCTCTCATGACCTGCACTTTTGAGATTTTCCCCTGTTAAGATGCCATCAGAACTTACTTCCAAATCTAAATGTAATGAGTTTGCTCAGTTCTTTAATGACAAAGTCCAAGGTATCAAAAACGCCATCACCTCCACGATAGAAATAATAATCCAACCGCCAGTGAGGCTTTTTGGGCTGACGCACTTTACACCAGTACAAATTGAAACTGTCCAGGAGATAATCACTAGTCTGAGTTCCTCCACATGCAGCCTGGATGTATTACCTCCTAGATTTCTCAAGTCAGTTCTGAGCAGTCTTTTACCTTCACTTACACAAATAGTTAATATGTCTCTTGAATCTGGAACATTCCCAATGGCCTTGAAAACGGCGGTCATCAGGCCCCTCCTAAAAAAGAGGAGTCTGGAAGCCCTGGCACTCAAAAATTATCGGCCCATTTCAAATCTGCCTTTCATGGGAAAAATTCTAGAAAAAGTTGCCTATAAACAACTTACAGAATTTTTAATAATCAATAACGCTTATGATATGTTCCAGTCAGGGTTTAGACCCCACCACAGCACTGAGACCGCGCTAATAAAGGTAACAAATGACATCAAACTAAACACTGACGCAGGAAAAGTCTCAGTCCTTTTTCTGTTAGATTTAAGTGCTGCTTTTGACACTATTGATCATGGCATCCTCATTCAGAGACTTGAGGACTGGGTTGGTGTTGCTGGCACCGCCCTAAGCTGGTTTAGGTACTATTTACAAGACAGAAAGTTTTTTGTGGAGATCGAAAACTGTACCTCAGACCACTTGGCCCTGACCTGCGGAGTGCCACAGGGGTCAATCCTGGGTCCTCTTCTGTTTAATATTTACATGTTGCCTCTAGGTCAGTTGATTCACAGTAATAATGTCTCTTATCACAATTACGCTGACGATACTCAGGTCTATGTGTCCCTGACAGCAGGAGAGCATGAACCAGTGGACTCGCTCCTTCACTGTGTCCAGCAAATCGGTGATTGGATGCAAAATAACTTTCTCCAGCTAAACACAGAAAAAACTGAAATTATTGTTTTCGGACCCCAGAAACAAAGAGAGAGCGTTATTTGTCACCTCCAGGCTCTCTCTCTACAACCCTCAAATCAGGTCAGAAATCTAGGAGTGATAATGGACTCAGACTTAAATTTCAAAAGCCACATAAAATCTGTAACATCAGCAGCTTATTACCACCTAAAAAACATTGCTAAAATTAAAAACATAGTGTCTAAGGCAGACTTGGAGACTCTTATACACGCTTTTGTCTCCAGTCGGTTAGACTATTGCAATGGCCTGCTCACAGGTCTGTCCAAACAGGCTGTAAAACAGCTGCAGTACATTCAACATGCAGCAGCTCGAGTCCTGACCAGAACTAGGAAGTACGACCACATTAGTCCAGTTCTCAGGTCTCTGCACTGGCTTCCTGTTCCTCAGAAAATAGACTTCAAAGCAGCTTTACTTGTGTACAAGTCTCTCCATGGTCTCGCGCCAAGGTACATCCATGACATGTTTGTGCCATATGAACCGACCCGGACTCTGAGGAGCACAGGGACTGGACTCCTGTTAGTGCCCAGAGTCGGTACTAGACATGGGCAAACTGCATTTCAGATTCATGCGGCTAGAGTCTGGAACCGTCTTCCTGAGAATGTGAGACAGGCGTCTACTCTGGCATCTTTTAAATCTAGGCTCAAAACAATTCTGTTTAGCTGCGCATATACAACTGAATGATTTTATCTTTTCATCTTTGTTTTTATCTTTAATCTTTTTAATGCACTGTGACTATTTATGATTTTAGTCCCATCTGTGATTTTAATGTTTAAAGGTTTTTAATTTTTGTGATTTTATTTTTAATGTTTTTAATATATCTTGTGCTCTTAATGTGTTTGATTTATGCATGATGTGATAGGGGATGTGAAGCGCTTTGCGTTGCCTTGTGTAGGAAAGGCGCTCTACAAATAAACGTTGATTGATTGATTGATTTCTCCAGAGCAGATCAATTATGTTACTTGACAATCACACACTAACCACTAACAATGAGAAATGTATTTTGAGTTATCTTTCATGATTTCTAAAATATGGCCAAAACAGTGAACTCTCTGTATATACCATGTTATCAGTATTAGTATAAACAACCTATGCTTGAACTCGGGCTCGCAGTACTGTCCTGAATACTCCCAACTTCCCTTTTCTTACAGGGCTGGAGTTTCTTAGAGTCATGTATTGCTCCTTGCTCTATAATTCTCTGTCAGTATATAAAACTTACTATCCGCCGTTCGTACAAATCCCTTAATCCCAACTACCTACCTTCAGCCAATCCAAATATACCTTAAATCAGAACAGTGTCCGCCTAAGGACCCATTTCCCTCTCCTGTTTTTATACAGTTTAGCCTACAGAGCGCCATTATTATTGCTGTCATGGAGTCACAACGCGCCCCTCCTTTACCACTAAATTCTCCCTGTCGCTCATAACTCTTCCCGGCCCCTTGTGGCGACCCGTGCCTTTTCCAACTATGTCACTACTGCCTTGCACTTGATGTATTTCCTCTGAGCTCAAATCTGCTCTCTTTCTTCCTCTCTTCCATTGCAGTTGCTGGCTACGCTTGGACACCTACTTCATCTGGAGTTTCATAGGACCGGCAACCTTGATAATTATGGTAAGCGGGCACACACACACACACACACACACACACACACACACGTTTGGTTTGCTAGCGTTGTGTGGACATTACATCGACTGACGTGCATTTCCTGTAGACTTAATGTAACCGTAATTATTATTTATTATGAGTCTGTCTCAACCCATTACTTCACTTAAAAGCATGTTGTTGATCTAATAATAAAGATTTACGCCATGCATTTTAGCGGGGGATGTAATAGGTGTAGAGTGTAGTACATATGGATCATTTTCACATTCTTTTCTTTAGTCTGCTTTTTCTCTAAACAAGTTTTTACATCTGCTTTGCTCTGAACGTATCCTCATAATCTTTAGATAGGACCTATTCATAAACATGTACAAAATAACCCAATTTCAGCAACTCTCAAATAACACAAACTGAATAAAACGTTCATATCACTGCTATAAGTAAAATACAAGTAATTTAAAGCTGGGATACGTAACTTTAAAACGACAAAGAATCCATCTAACTGCAGTTGTTTTAGTTAGTAGTAGCATTGGTTCTGTATTTTTGGCCTCTGACACATCTTTAGATCAGTTTTTCAGAGAACACAGTGAAAATGAGGGCACCACTCTTGCTCAGCCAATCAGCTCTCAGCCCAAAAAAATAGTCTCACTGGGCCTTTTCTCGGAAATATATCTCACATTGTATTGTGGTTTAATTGTGGTCAAGACTCTTTGTTTGGACAAGGGTTAAGTACCCCAGCTTTAAACGCCAAACTTTTTCTTTTCCCACTTTTTAGTTTTTGCTGTATTCACCTTCTTTAAGGATCAGCTCCTTTCTCCACCATCCAAGTATATGAAGGTTTTTAGTCCCCACAATGTGATAAATACCCTCCCATCCACCCCCATCCAGCACGCACTCACTTTTGCTCATTAACCCGTATTAGCCTGCGGGTCGTCTGCTTAAACGGTCCACCGAGATCCCCCTCCACGGCTAACACCTTTCCATGCTACCTTCGGGCACCGCAAAACGAATGAGGGCCGCACTGAAAATATGGCACTTTGTCACCCCGGCCGTGGTCACTGGCAGGGAACGTTTGTGGTCAGGGTCGGAGGGTTGAAAAGATAGACTCTACTCAGTATGCAGCGTGGAGTAATCCGCATTATGATTGATTTTGTTCCCGCTCTACACTACTTTTTTTTTTCTGTTTTTTTTTTCACAATTTGCCTTGCGCTTTATTTGGTGCTGGCATTATATAAAACGGACACAAGCGCTGACATAGTTTTCCGCAACTAGGACAACAAGCCTAATTTTGCATTATTTATTGATTTGCGTCAAAGACTTAAAGAACAAAAAGTGCCAAATATATACTCGAAAACATCTCGCTTTACGAATAGTCTCACTTGCTTGGATCTTGCATTATGGATTACAGGATTATTTACTGGAGCCCCTAAACTCTTCAAACAAGTCTTTTTAGTGGCTGTGAGCAGCAGTTGGCTAAATCTGAACATGCATAATGCAGTTTCACGCTCCACTTTTAGCATCTACAATGCTTTCTGTTGGGCTCATGAGTCACTGCTGCTCTGTGCTTAAATCTATACGGTCTGTGCAAGTCATGGCTTTGGAGAAGGGACCACGTTTTACCTGAAAGCCGGGGATCTAACTTTCATCCCAAGGCAAGGCAAGGCAACCCAAAATACTGAACAAAACAAGCACTTATAGATAATACATTTTGCATTTCATAGTACCATTTTATGAACCAATCAGACCATAACATCTTACTAGAAAATGTTTGATCTTACTTGTATAATTGAGCCTTATGAGTCACTATTTGGCTCTTTGGGGCTGAGGGCTGATTGGCTGAATGAGCACGCTGTATTTTTACACAACATTGCTGCTGTTTCTAAATCCAAAGTCGTACCTTTTTTCACACTTACTGTTGGAACATCCAAACCAGACACATTCACTGTTCCTGCAAGGTGTCAAATCTACCCCTATTGTGCTTAATAGAAGTTGAGTCTTTTCTCGGCCAGATTTCTTCACCAAACTTTTCAACAACAAAAAAAGCTACAGACAATCACAGAAACATTGGCTTAAATTCCTCGCTGTTACTTCCAAGTGTGAGTTGCTTCTATTCCGCACATCTACGCAGACATTTCATAGGATTTTGCGCTCTGGTTGGCAAAGTGGGAAAGCAAGTTGTACAAAGTGCCCTGATTTAAAATGAATGGAATCGAACACAAGCCTCATCTGTGTCTTTTCTCTCTCAGCTCAACGTGATCTTCCTCGGCATCGCCCTATACAAGATGTTCCATCACACGGCCATCTTGAAACCAGACTCCGGTTGCCTGGACAACATCAAGTAAGGGCACTCAGATCGCGCGGCTACATATCCATTAAAGCCGAACTGAAATAGCAGGGCCCTCGTGCACTTTATGTTACTGAGTGTTTCACAGCGACAAGGAGACGTTTGGCCGTTTTAACAGAACGAATAGAACCAGAAATGCTCGGAAAAAAAAGCTGCAGATTGAGCTGTTAGAGAGAGTGCATTGTAAAGAAGGTCCAAATGAGGGAGAAATGTGAGACAATATAGAATGTGAGTCAATGTTTTCCAAATTGAAGGTACACAAGGAGAAGCATGTAGTTATGTAGAGACCACTTCATGTTTGAGGCAACAAAGATATTCGTCATAAAGGATATTGGAAATGAGTGTCCTCCATAGAGTAGCTGTACGCTCTTTTAGAGATAGGTTGAGGAGCTCAGAGGAGAGCCCCTGCTCCCGCAAGTGGAGCGCCTCAGAACCTCTGTATTTCAGTATAACGTGTAATCTCTTTGATCATGGTGATACGCTGCCCCAGCCCCAGTGGAATTGATGAATTGGTTATAAACAACAAAAAAGAAATACATTTCAGAAAATACTTGAAGATGAGCTGAACTAAAACATTGCCATTCACTTTTACTATGTTTTTTTTTTACTGCATTTAGTGTCAAACTTTGGTATAGTAGTAAAAAGTATACATTTTACATTTTTCTGCATTAAGATAAGATAAGAGATTAGCAGAACTTGCCGGTATTTGGGCATCGTCTGGTCCTCCCGGTTCTGCGCAGTGGACGAAAAAAAAGAAGAAAAAGAAGACAAAAAGTTCAGGACGACAAGGGACACTAAAATCCTCACAAAATTCGATATTTGTGAAAGCTGTAGGTTCTCTGTCAGGTTCTCTGTCAGGTTCTCTGTCGGCTGAGGTCGAGCTGTTTTAGTTTACATTGAGTTCTATGGGACTTTTTTCTGGGCAGCCCACGTGAATTTAGTCTGCAGTACCACAGCGCCCCCTGTGCCCATGGGTGGGACGGCTGTAAGCTAGCGATACCCTATCCAGTTATTATTATAGATCCATGGCACCAAGTCACAATAAGCACAACACTGCGATGAAACATTCAGATTTTTGCATAACATGTATCTAGTAATTCATGTTTTTTTATAGTTTCAAGCCAATGTTCAGCCCGTTTGGTGAATGTACATAGTCAATGCAAACGCATAACAAAACACCAAAGTTTGTCCCCCAAGACTTTCACTAACCAAAGACAGACTTCTCCTCCTGTTATCTGCCTGTCACTGCGGCTGTGATGAATATTCATACTGTTTATGAGTTATGGACGTTTCCCTCTGTTTATCTGCGCCTGTTTGCACTCAGATAATACAAAAGCCTCGGGGGCACTGCTCGACAAATTTACAAACTGTTAATGTTTACTGTTAATGATTCTCTTCTGGTGCGGTGGTTGTGGTTCCTTTCACATTAGCTAAAAGCCATTCGTATTTACATGCAGACTTTCTATCGAGGCCACAGCATACATTACTTGTAGGTCATAACACAAACAAGGAACCTCTTATTTAATTAACAATTGAAATGGTTTTGAATGACAACGTGACTTAAACGTTTATGTCTGTGTTTGGGGTCAGGGAGTGGGAGGAGGACTAAATAGTTGATCGGCGATATATTTTATTAATACATGAAAAAAACGCATTATCCTTGAACCTGGTGCACACAGTAGTGGCCAGTAGTTTCTTATACACATGAAACGCTGCTAAAATATTTGGCAGTAAATTATTGTTATCAGTCTGAAAACCATATTTGCCACTGAGACAAGCAAACACTTCTTATTTTGAGAAATTTAGCCATTTTTGTTTTGTTTTTCTAAGTGAGAATTAGCTTAGTGTGTGAAGAAGGGGGTTTGAACCCAATAAGCATTTGATTCGTCCAACCTCTTTTCAAACTGTATTTTTCAAAGTAAACGTCTGTATCTTGTCTGTTTTGCTATTTTGTATGAAAAATATACGTTTGAAAGAAACACTGACTTACTTATTTAGCTTGTCTCTTAAAACAATATTTTTGTATATTGTCCCATTGGCAAATCTAGGCCCGTCCACACGTAGCCGGGTCTCTGCTAAACGTTTGCACCTCTCATCCACATGACAACGCACCATAAACGAATATTTATAAAAACTCCGGGCAAAGTGGAGATTTTTGAAAGTCGCGTGTAGACGGAGATAACGGGATTTTTGAGTTTTTTCACGTCACAGTATGACAACAACAAACAACACGTGCGACCTCTGATCACTGAAGAAGGATCTTACTGCCCTAAAAACTGTTCTCTGCTGCGAGCGGTTCACAGCAGCGAACATCCTCCACATCAGAGAGCAGCAACGTGATCACAGGGACTCGCGCTCCAAAACAACTAAAACAGCAGCTAAACCAGGACTAAACCAGGACTAAACCAGGACTAAACCAGGACTAAACCAGGACTTAACCAGGGCTGAGGAGGGGGTCAGTGCTTGTAAACATCTGTCTTTACCCTGAGTTTCTTCTATGACTGTAAAAGTGCCGCTACAGAAATACCGGCGTCAGCATCAAAACTCCGCCCACTTCTGTGTTTTTCCCCCAACGCAGGACATCAAAGGACTGAAAACGCAGATCTCCGGTTATGTGTGCATGCAAATAGTTTTATAAACGGAGGGGGGGAAATATTCGGTTTTAGAAATACCCGGCTGTGGACATGGCCCTATGTTTATAACCAAATCTAGACACATGTTACCTAATTTAGCATTAACTTAGCTTGTTGACATGTCTATCTGCCTTTTCTACATTCAATCTTGACCCTCCGTTATAAACATTTGGAGCTGTCACTAGTATGTTTTTTTTTGCCCAGAAATTGAGCTATATTACCACATCTGCTGACATTGTAGCCACTCTGCTCTGGCTCTAGTATTTACTCTCGAACACAAAGCACGAGTGGAAACACACAGGCCGTTGAAAACAATGAGCGATCATCATTACATCTGACCTCATTCACATTACAGCCATTTAAGACGTCTTACTTCAGCAATATCGATCCGCGCTGCTAAGTGTTGGTATTGTGTTGTATAGAGCATTCATCATTGGAGCCACTAAAGCTGATGGGCCTCAGAGGAGTTTCATGCACACGCCAAAATCTTAAATACATTTGTTTGTTTGGAATAGACACTTTTAAAGGTTGATTTTTCAGTTTTGGAGATTTTTAGCCTTGCAGTTACTTCTTCTAAATGGATTTCAATGCCAAGCGTATAGATAAAGAAGGGTGTTTTATTGAGTTTGAACTACTTCTAGGATACTTCCACAGCTATCGGGAAAATAACATCAAATGAAACTTGTGTCTTTAAACATATGGGCATTATTGTGATTGGTTTAAGAGTTGGCTAATATGTTTATGCTTTGCTAGGATGTGATTGAAAGTTAGCATTTCAACAACATTACGTTTTTAGTCTGCTATAGTGACCATCTGAATAGTAACGGGGCCTTTCTGAGTGGAGTTTGCATGTTCTCCCTGTGTCTGCGTAGGTTTCCTCCGGGTGCTCCGGTTTCCCCTACCACTAAAAACATGCACAATAGGTCTGAATGTAAATGAGAGAGTGAATGGATGGTGTTGGAGCTGATGATCCAGTGTGTTCTGGACTCGCTTCTGTCATCACCGTGTGTGGAAGGATTGGAACAATATCTGACTCTGAACATTGTAAAGCGCTTTGGGTCTGTACCTTGGTCTGTAGAATGCGCTATATAAATAAACATTACTACTACTTACTAACCAGAATATGCAGTCGGAGAGCACATACCCTGCCAAGGCCACGGATTGTCCAGACATTTGAATGGGATCTTTAGACACATTCCTTCTAAACCCCAATATTCTGTTCAGTCTGTCCAGTTGTTTTTGCACGATCCTGTCTACAGACAAACACACACACGGACAATCTCAAAACCAGTTGGCGAGATTCTGCGCTGAATTTTTAAAAACTGCCCAACTACGTTTTTCAAAGCTTTTCACATTTGAAAGTAGTGTAATGTGTTGTAATGCACTTCTGCCTCCTCTGTGATCATCAATGACACATGCAGCAAGTCTATGTACAGTAGCTTTAAAACATTTAAGTCACAATAATGATCCAAAACACTTGAATTAAAGTAACAAGTCTGTGTATTTACTCCCACCATATTGTTCTGCTCTTTCCGCCCTTTGCACAACATGAATGGCTCCACTATATACATTTTTTCTACAAGTAAAAATGACCAAGAACCACAATAACTTTGTATAAAGCTGTGAAAGCAGTTTGTTCTACATCTGTCTATTCAAAGTAGAGGTCACTTACTCCAAATTGTGAAAATGTAGACGCGTTCTTGACCAGACGCACTGAATTACAATCCTAGACAGTTGAGAATATCATGAATACTTAACTTTGACGTTGCAGACATACTGTAACCTTAAAAACCCTTTTTAATGCCACTCTTTTCCTATTGACTCTCATAAGGTGTCCTATGGTTTGTCTGTCGCACACCTCTCCTCCTTCGCACTCATACAGAGAAACAATCTTCGCCCGGCGTGATGGAGCTTGCCTTTGCTTCGTCTTGGACAATGTTTTATTCCATCCCGATCCTCAAAGGTTTGCTGGCCAAACGGCAAGTTACGGCAGTGTAGCCAGCCACGTTTGACATGTGACAAGAACATCAGAGTTTGTAGTCCAGATTTCCGTTTCAGAATGTATGAAAAGCTGGAGATATGGTCCGATAAATTCACTTAACCTTTCCATCTTTATATTACAACTCAGAAAATGACAATATGATTTGGGCATGTGCTCTCTGATTGGATGTTCTAGTTGTTTTTGACCAGCACATGGCAGACAGTTGTAAAGTGAAATCATTGTATTATTTTTTAAAGAATTAGAAGTTGTGGAACCGCCTTTTGCTACAATTACAGCTTCAAGTACATGACTATAGACGGAAATATTGTCCATAATGTCCTTTTCATTTTTCAAAGCAATGTATGTACAGCTGTTTTTTTTGATGATTTCACAAATTCTCAATTGGGAAAAAAGGCGACTGTAAGCTCAGATAGGTAAAGCCTTTAGGCCTGACTGAAGGGTCGGTGGGTTCGATCCTCCTCGGGACAGTTCTCCACCGACTCCAAACTGATGACTGCTGTCGTTGTGTCCTAGGGAAAAGACACTTAACCCCCACTTTGCTGATCACTGCTGGAAGATCTCAGATCCTGTGGAGCTCAGCACCTGAG